CTTCAAATGTAACGCCAGCTTACCACAAATGTTTAGCGTGCACAACTTACTAAAAAGTTAATTGCCCTGATAAAAAAAACTTACTCTATTGATTTCTGGAGAAATTCTAGCTGCGGGTCTGGGAGTTGTCACAAGGGGGTAAGTGTGGGTACCGATTATGAATTAAAATTAACTCTATCGATTTTTTCTATTTTTGGAAAATCTTGAGTTACGAGACTGGGAGTTGGCACAGGAGGTAGAGGATGCTGATTAAAACCGAAATCTATTCTGAGCTAGAAGTTGGTATAGGGGATACGAGGTTACCATCGGGGTTCAGCCAGATATGTCGGCAAGTTTGAGATCTGGTTGCTCTAGTTAATCGATAAATCATTCAAATATTTATTCGAAATTCGACTTCCAATGTTCGAATATATTCAATATTCATTCATTCGATATTTTTGATTTTCCGAATTAATTCGGAATTCATTCATTCGAAGATTTTTGAACCTCAATTTATTCGATATTCGTTTATTCGAAATTTTACCTTTTCGAATATATTCGGTATTTATTCATCCAATGAAAAATTTTCGAATTACCCAAGTATAGTGGGTAGTGAATTTTGAATATTTATGAGTTTTTAGGATAAAAAAATCCGTAACTTCTGAAGGTAACAGAGAGTACATGGAAATGGTCACCATTGAAACCATCTCGTCCATCGCTTTCGGAAAATATATACATTGCATGGGGTCGGTTGAAAAAAGTGCCAAGGTAGAAGGTGTGCTTAGTGTTTTTTAGAAATTTTCGAGTTTTAACATTCATAACTTTTGTAGATAAACATCTTTTACACCGTCATGGTTACCATTGGAACCGTTTTGTGTTCCGCTTTCAAACATTGTATGCTTTGCCTGGATCCATTACAAAAAGTGGCGGGTGAAAGGTGCTTTTTTTTACCATTGTAAAAAGACGTCTATTTGAGTACTCCCATTACAAGAGTCTCACCCACCCTTCACCCGGCACTTTTTTCAACAAACCCCAGGCAAATTATATATTTTCTAAAAGCGAAGAACAGGCGGCTCCAATGGTTACCATATCGGCATAAAAGATATTCGTCTTCAGAAGTTATGAATTTTTTACGTCAAAACTTGAAACTTCTAAATCACTACGAGTACCCTTCACCGCACTTTCTTGAATGGATCTCAGACGTGCTATTGACTTTCTGAAAACGGAAAATGAGGCGGTTTTGACGGTCACTATTTCCTTGTACCAATATTCTACAAAACATATGATTTTTTATGTTGAAAACTCGCAAGTGTCCAGAAATCATTGAGCACACCTTTCATTAGGTAGTTTTATGAACGGACTCTAAAGCAAGCAATTTATTCACTGAAACCAGATGGGAACGTTGTTCCACGGAACTTTCCTCGCTGAATTGCTGTGAAGCTACAGAAGCTGCTATCAAGCTGTCCCATAAGTTCCGTTTTAGATTCAATCACAATAAGTCATGAACTTTTTCATTATAGATGGGCTTCATCGTTCGATAGAGCAAAGCAAGCTCTACACGATGACGTTCTTACTTTCGCACCAGTTCAAATCCATCTCGAGTTTCAAGCCAAAAACCAAAAAGATCCAACCGCCCGAAAAATTGAGAAAAAAGCGTAACTCCTTCCAAAAAAATCTAAAAAATTCCTGACTTATTCACAAATGGGATATCCACATCAGCTATATATACACTGTTTCTGTGCTTTTTCCTTCTATAAAAATCGAGAAAACGAAAATTTTCATGTTTTTGCCAAAGTGATGCTGTGCTATTCCCACACTAGTAGTTGTATACTACAGATCAGTGCAAGTACAGACACAATTTTTAGCGCTCTACAGGCTTAGTTCTTCAAAGACATTGAATTTGGCTTTGCACAGTCGAGTGTCCCTTATTGAATTAAAAATTTTCTCGAGAACTAAAGCCTGTAGAGCGCTAAATATTTGTGTCTTGCACTGGTCTGTAGTATACAAATACTAGTGTGGAAATAGCATAGCACCACTTTGACAACAACACAAAAATTTTCGTTTTCTCGATTTCTATCGAAGGAAAAAATACAGAAGTGTATATAAATAGCTGATGTGGTTTCTCATCTGTGAACAAGTTGGGAATTTTCCAGGATTTTTTTGGAAGGAGTTACGTTTCTTTCTCAATTTTTCGAGCGGTTGAATCTTTTTGGTTTTTGGCTTGAAACTCGAGATGGATTTGAACTGTGCGAAAAGAACGTCGCGTAGAGCTTTCTTTGCTTTATCGAACGGTATTTTGAAGCCTATCTAGAATCAAGAAGCTCATGACTTATTGCGATTGAAAGCTAAAACGGAAACTTATGGAACAACCTGATATTTTTTTCCTCCTGGAAGTTTATGAATGCCTATAAATCTTCTTCCCCCTTTCCAAACACAGACAATTCCCGTACAAGTTCTCCTTTGCTTAACCTTACCTCACTATTTATTTTTTTCTAGGCTTTTGGTGAAGGGGGTTACCTTGGTCCCGGCTCACGGGCGAAAGGAGGGTGAGCAATTTCTTGCACTATCGCACCTATGAACTCTATGACGTTGAATGTCTATCAGAGCAATGTATTGTCTGCCCATAGGAGATGTAGGTGATTGCGCGAAGGCAGGAGTAGTGTACGAATCAGAGTGCTTAAACTGCAAGGCGACATATATCGGAGAGACAGGTAGATTGCTGAATGTTAGACTTAAGGAGCATCTAGCGGCAAAAAGATGAGCAAATGCAATGTCACCGTTGGGAAGACACAGAATAAAAAACGCACAACGGTGGTGAATTTGACGTTAAGTTCACTATTTTGTCATACGAGGCAGAGATGCAATGAGGAAAACCATTGAGGCAGCGTGGATTCCCCTTTGAGATCCTAGCATGAATAACAAAAATAAATGCGTATCAATAACAGCCGATCTTACCTCTCTCAACGATCTGCACATATATGTGTCGATCATTTAAAAGGAGGCGGTGTAGTGTCTCCGGTACGGCTGAGTACGACTCCATTAACTCTCACTAACACCACGGGGATAAAGGTTCGTCTTTTCGTCAACATGTTCCATACGTTAAGTGCGGTACGTGGTCTAGACTCGGCAGTGCGGGGAGGCGTTTGACGGTTTGGTCCCACGAATAACACTGCAATCTACTTTCAGACCTCCGACGAAGACGATTTTGTCGAAACATAAGGTCAACAAAGAATCCCACCATACAAACCTGGCAGGCATAATATCATATAATAACTACTAACTTAAGTAAATTTTTCTACAAAAAAGTGTGTTTCATCAATTCCAATTAGTAGATATGTATGACGGCACGGTTGCTCTCTTTCGATTGAACCTAATTTCGCCTTTGTAAGATCACTTTGAAAGTATTTGGCTAAGAGCCAGTTTCAGTGGCCTGGACTTTAGTTGAGATATTCAGCATTCCTTGGCCAGGTTCCAAAACAGTTTCCGATAGGGGGGAGGGAGGCTTAGATTGTAGCCACGTCCCAAGGAGCAGTCGGAGGTAGCGAGCATGACATCGTGCAGGCACTTCCCGAGTCGGGCTAAGTAGGGCTTGGATTTCTAAGTTCCGTTCCCCAGTTTGGAGCCATATCGATGCCTGCGCAAGTCATTATACCGCTTTTCACTGATGTAAAGTTTTCACAAGCTTTTAAGAGCGAGCGCATATGTTTCCACTTTCCTGCATTATTCCTCTGCTATCCCCTATTTATTTATGTGCTAAATTCGAATTCTTTCGTTACATTTGCGTTGTGAGAAAGGCGGTTTGTCTTAATGGAAAATTTGGGTTTTGTAGCAGTTTGCTGATAGAGTAGGTATCTGTAAGGTTGTCAAGAAAATAATGTCGTTTTTTATTCGCTTGCTTTAACAAAGCAACCAGGCTCAACCCAACAAAGGGTAAAAATATTGTTCGATAGAAAAGAGAAAGCTCTACAAGATGGCACTCATAATATTGCGATGTTCGATCCACGGAAACGAACTCAGAATCTAAAGATTTTCAAATGCCCAAAAAATCGAAAAAAAAATCAGATTTCCGTCCAAATAATTTCTACGGTTTCCCGTTTACACACGTCAATGCCTTCGATATCAGACACCCATATGTGCAGCTGCTGTGTTTTTTCCTTGACTAGAAATAGAAAAAACGAAAATTTTCATGATTTCTCAAAGCAACGATGAGCCGTTCTTGCATATGTAGTTCTATACTACAAACCTAAATTAACGTAACTGTAGATTTTCAGCCTATTCCGAATGGTAGTTTTCGAGAAATGTCGATTTTAGCACTGAAACTGAAAAAAAGGGAGCTGAATCCAATATTTCTCGAAAATTACCGCTCGGAATGGGCTGAAAATTCATAGTTATCTTACCTAGGTTTGTAGTATAGAACTACATATGCAAGAACGGCTCATAATTGCTTTAAGAAAATCGCGAAAATTTTCGTTTTCTCTGTTTCTAATCAAGGAAAAAAACACAGCAACTGCACTTGTGGGTGTCTGATATCGATGGCATTGACGTGTGTAAGTGGGTGGTACGTAGAAATTAGTTGAACGGAGATCTAATTTTTTATCGATTTTTTGGGCATTTGGAAATCTTTAGGTTTTGAGTTCGAAGTTTCCATGGATCGAACTCTGCGCAATATTATGAATGCCATCTTGTAGAGCTTGCTCTGCTCTATCGAACAGTATTCCTTACCCTTTGTTGGATTAAGCCTGGTTGCTTCGTTAAAGCAAACAATTGAAAAACGACATTATTTTCTTGACAACCCAATACATATGCAAGTGTATTCGCGATACTTCCTGCACTTTTCCCTTAAACGAATAACTTAACCTTCTTCTTTGAGCTGCCTGTAACAAACCACAGACCAAAGTCGAGAACGTTGTCGAGAACATTAGAGTTTTGTAATTTTTCATAAATAATGTCATGGGACTTCCTGTTACTCTATTTCTTTTCTCGAAAATATGATGAAAATTACACTTCTGTTCCCATTGAACATTTAATTCCTCAAACAAGAGTTAATAGTGCAGTGTTCAGCGCAAGAATGGATTCAGATTGGTATGTAAACTTCAAATTCAATATTTTTACAAGAACTCTTTAGAGCGTCTCTACCTCTAGATAATCGTGTTTTATCACAGTATCGTTTCTTTCTAGCCTTTCCAGCTCAGCTCGCGCCAAGTTGGAAACTATCTTCGAATATTTTTCTATCCACTTGATCCTGAACTCAGCAAGCTCTAGTCCGGCTTGATCGGCATCATCATATCTACCATTGCTCTTATGAGCCGATTCTATCTGTAATATGCTTCATGACAAATGCTACGAAGAGATTATAAAATAACTACAAAAATGTGTTTTTGCAACAGGAACATTGTTATGCTCTGAAATTGAAATTGCTTTTTATGTGCAAAAATCCCTGAGAAGCTGTTATTATTTACACAGAAGCCAAACTAGCCGATACTTCTTTTTTACATGACGAATGAGCTCCATTACTCTTGAATAATGATTTTTTACAACTTGGCAAACAAACTTACAGATACACAAGGGCATGTTTCGGCAAAAGTTAAGTTGCGTAACTGTCCACTCCTATCCATGCAGGTACTTCCCTAATGTCACTTATGTCGAGTACGGAAGGAATACTTATTATAATAATAGCGGGCTGAAGGTTGTTTACGTTTGTCTGTATGCGTAAATCTCTGTCTGTCACAAAATTCGTAGAGCGAGTTCCAGCGAAGTTCTTGAGCTGGAATTTTGGTAGTAGCACCCTATCAGCATGTAAATAAAATGTGCGAAAGGGCAAGCCGATTTGATAAGTACCTGTGAAAACTACGGATCCACGCGACTTTCGGTGCGTCAAAGTGGTTCTATAATTGAACCTTATCCTCAGTCGTGGATCTGTTTGACAAGCAAATTCGCAAACCACAGAATCTAGCTCGAAATGCGAGCGAAAACTACTATCACGCAAGATCGGCGCCAAAAGGGAACAACTGCGAAGATAATCGATGCCAGGTTTTAACTAAGAATTTGAGAAAATTTTTGCTTAGGCTTCATCATTACGGATAAATTGTAAGCAACTACTCATTCCAAAAGCTTTTTCAAGTAAGATCGGTGGTTTTGGGAGGAATGAAAGTTTCTCCAAAAGGATAAATGCGAGTTTGAATTAGTTACTGGAGTTATAATGGCTTGATAGTTCCCATATAGATGATGACAGCCCGTGAGTACTTCTCTAAGACCCCCGCCAGAGTGCGGAAGCCACGCCAGCGCTGCGTCGGCGCCGAGCTGCCCCGGCGCTGTTTTGATCGATACCTGCAATTCGTTGGGGCGGGGCTAGCCGACCTAGTTCTCAGCCAGGTAGATGCGTCGACTATAGATCGAATCTGCCAAAAGCTCCGGTAGCCCTTGCCCGCACATGGTCAGCTAGCCTCGCCTTGAGCATATGGGACAGCTCGGCGCTGGCTCGGCGCCGGCGCAGCGCTGGCCTGGCTTCGGCACTCTTGCGGGGGTCTTAGGGACGTAACTTACGGGCTGTCATCATCTATATGGAAACTATCAAGCCATTATAACTCCAGTAACTGATTCAAACCATACCCTCGATACATAGAGCCACATACTCTGGTAACCTTTACTTTGAGGGCTATGGGGGGACACAACATTCACCTGGAAAAAACGGAAGTCATCCGGGACTTCGCCCCGAATGTTATTATCCTGACTATAACGGGATGAATGTTAATGAAGCAAACATAGGGAACAACTTTAGCTTATCTCAGCGAAACCGAGAATTTTATAGCCTTTTTCATCTTAAAAAGAAGGTTTCTGTGGGGTTTTCGCCAGAATTCGAGGCAAAATTTCTCAGTTATCCTCTCATTTGAACAAAATCGAGTTTCAGAAGTTTAAGAAAGCTATTGGAGTTGAACAAAAACGAGAAACTGCGCTTAACTCTTTCGCAGAGAGTCGCGCACGAAAACGCTGGTCTAACGCGTTAATAAGTGATTTTCAAAGCGTGGGACGTTGTCAGTTCTCCTCGTCGTGTCATGGCGATCACAATGATGATAATGTTGCAGGGTTTCGTTGAGACTCCGCGGAGATCTACGACCAGAGCCAAATGCCCCGTCGGCTCTGGTCTGTCTCCGCTGCTCGTCTGCGTCTCCGCCCGCTGCGCGCTACCTCGCTACCCAAACGCGGGGCGCGGGGCTTTTGGCTCTGGTACCCTTTTCTTCGCTGTTTCGAACCCAATTTTAGCAAGCTACATATATTAGGTTGGTCCGAAAGTTCTGTCCCACCATTTTCAAAAAATCATAACTTCTTTCTAACTCGATGTTTTTGCATGTCTAAAACCACATTGAAAAGAGCAAATTATGCACTTTCCAATACTTTGTTGGTTGCTATCTACTAAGCTCTGGATGCAGAGATAAAATTGGGTAAAGGAAATCACTTCAATTTCGGAATTTTTAAGCAAACCCGCTAAAAATTCCAAAACTGTGTTAGAAAATCCGAATCAGCGAGTATCCTAGACTGTTTTACCTCCTCTTTCTGCTGAGCAAAGTTCGCGCTGATCGAGCTGTTCTTCGAAAAGTTATGATTTTTTGTAAGAAATGTCAAAAAATCATTTTTCTTGAAAAACTGATTTTTTGACATTTTTCTTGAAAATCATAACTTTTCTAGGAAGAGCTCTATCAACACAAAATTTGCTTATATAGAAAGAGAAGATCAGAAAACCTGGAATACTGGCTTTTTTGGGTTATGGCACACTTTTGGATTTATTGACGGGCTTGCTTAAAAATTCCGAAATTGAAGTGATTTCCTTTACCCAATTTTATCTCTCATCCAGAGCTTGATAGATAGCAACCAAAATAGTTTTGGAAAGTGCATGAATTGCTCTTCTCAATTTGGTTTTAGTCATGCATAAACATCGTGTTAGAAAGAAGTTACGATTTTTTGAAAATGGAGGGACAGAACTTTCGGACCAACCTAATATATCATTTTGAAGCTCTTAATCTCTATTTTCACGCTATAACGTCTCAGAACCACATTTTTGATTTGATCGAGAAATCCGGCAAAAACCTTGTTTTCGGCAATCTCTCGTTTCTCTCCTAGTTTAACTAATTTCACGCGGCGGTTTTTTCGTGCATTCTATAGATCGTGCTTCTGATCATAATGCAGACAACCACCCAGCCCTTAACTCTTCGATTATGGTGGAATTTTCTGCAAAAAATCGTAAAAAGTGCGTTTTCCGTTTTTCCGTTACCTTGTTCTGTTTCAGTGCTTTCGCATCAGCTTGGGCGATTATAGCTCAGAAACAATAAGCGCAACAATCCAGACAACGTCCCAGGAAACAGGAACGTCAATGCAGAGGTAAAAATCAAAGGACGCATCAAGAAACAAAACCCCGTGTTGCGATTTGCTGGTCCTGGGGCGAAAACTTGCATTTTGAAAAGCCGCCAAATGAAGAATTTCGGACCTCTTTGCAGCGTTTTTATCCGGTTTTCAGCAGTTTCTTTTGCTTTTCATATCTGTTTTACGTCACATTCTCTTCTCTGATCTTCTTCAACCTTCACTATTTATGACGTCAGATGTTCAAACAACCTTCACTTTTGACGCCCTTTCTCTAGACTATCGAAGTTATAATTCAAACTCGCATTTATCCTTTTGGAGAATCTTTCATTCCTCTTTGAACCACCGATCTTACTTGAAAAAGCTTTTGGAATGAGTAGTTGCTTACAATTTATCCGTAGTGATCGGCATAGCGTGATCGGTTTCGAAGCCATCATTTGCGAGTATATCATAAACTCGATCAGCCGCTGGGTCTGCGAACCCATTAGCTTCGTAAATACCGATCTCGTGGGTCAAGCCCACCCAGAGGGTTCGGAACTCACTGGTTCGTTGATGAATGCGGCCACTGCTCGCACTTGACAGTATATTACCTTGTCTTCGTGTTTGGGGTATTTATTGGCACACCACGCTGGGAGGCAGTGACAATCTTAGGGGATTTTGGGGGGGGGGGACAGAAACCTTTTTTGGATGAAGGGGCAGCGTTGCCTTGAGTTATGAACATGTCTTAGAATCGTATAAACTAACCATCAGAATTTCTTCGCGAGAACGCGCTTTGGATATGCAACTTCTGATAACTTCAGATAAAACATTGTACTTCTCCGCAAACCTAAATATACATTTTCGTCAAAATTCTGAAATGTTGCAAATTTGAGAAGTATGAAATGTTTTGGGCAGAAGCAATTGATGTTCTTGAGAAAACAAAATCAGGCTCTGCTGAAATTCTTGGACTCGGAATATTTTCGTTAAAACATTTACTCAAAAATATGTTGAAGTCTGCATTACGTTTTTAAAGTGCTTGCATTCATTACAATCCAGGATCGATTATATGGACTTTGCTAGAAAGCTCTATCATCCGAACATTTAACATTGCATAAGTTCGAAACTGATTAATTTTTGAGCAAAACCCAAAATACATATTCCCACCTATCATGAATTGCTTTCCAATTTGAAATGCAAAACCGAAGCAACAATTTATCTGCGAGTTGATTTTTTGCAACACTTTGAAATACATCTGCTACCTCCCTGTCATCGTATGCATTTTTCTTGTCTAGTACTTCTAGAAGTTTCCTGTAATTGGATTCTGTATTCGATTAAACTTCAGAATCAAAAAAATAAAAATTTGACGTTTTTACAGACATACAGCGCTGGCCAAAACTATAGATCCAACATAAAAAACTGCCGTAGAGTTCATCTGCCTCTCAGCCAATTAATCTGAGATTTGGTAAGCTGTGTGTTCAACAGGCTTCCATCAATGACCGGAGCGGATTTCGCCTTCGTTAGACAATTTAGGGAAAAATTAAAAATTTCGAAAAAAGCAGGCTCGAAGGTTGGCCAAAACTAAAGATCCACCTAAAATTTTTGTCTGCTAAAGTAATTCTTGGCTTCCAAAGTCTTTCGTGCTTATACATAGTCGAAAGTCAAAGCAATGGCTTTAGTTCAGCAGTTCATACCTTTATGAGAAACGCTTATCTGCTTTTTTTTTCACATAAACAACACTTTTATGCGCATGTTGTCCGAGAATGTGTTTTAATAAAGGATCCCGCAGTTTTTTGACTGGTCTGAAAGTGATGTGGCTCCATCTTTCTTATAGATGCTTAGCAGTGTGAGCAGTAGAAAAAAATTCGGGCTTTCGTATCCAAAGCGCATCCTGCATAGACCTAACCGCAGGCCTGCCTTCAAATTTATGCCTTCAAGCTCTTTTCGCAATGTTGTCATGAGCGTGAACTGGAGTAATGACCTTGTTAGTATGTATGAAAGTCCACATGCAGAGGTTGCAGATTTCTGCAGATTCTGGTATGCAGGCTAATTGAGGACTTCATCCTGCAAAAAGTGATTTGCAACAAGCCTTAAAGTTATTTCTGGTTCTGACCATAATGCTTGTCATAAGGCAACATACAATGGAGGGCAAGCGTTAGGCGACAAAACGTGCAAAACGCAATCAACGTAAAGCCGTTAACGTTAGAACTATATGCAATTTTTTGATGGCGTCGAGTAATGTATCGGCCCCGACCCCCACCCCCTGTTTTTGGCGGAAGAGACTCTTTGCACGGGGAGTTATTTGGGGTCCAAAAAATCGGGTTTGTCGCCTAACGCCCTACACCCCATACAATGCAGGGTGCACTCACTAGTTAGCAGCTAAATAGTGGCAAAATTCAAGGAAGATACCACTTGGTAAGTACTTTGAGATTGCCGAACACACCGCAAGACTTATGCTTTGAAAAAGAATTAAAATGCGACTTCGCAAACAATCATGACTATAGTTTACAAACTTCTTTTTATGGAATAATGCTAGATAATGCTTCTGCATTATTTTGAGCGTACAAAAATGGCGTACACCAATTTTGTAGGCAAAAATTCGAGCGCAGGCCTGCGGTTAGGTCTATGTCAGCTACGCTTTGAATACAAAAACTCGAATTTTTTTCTACTGCTCACACTGCTAAGCTATCCATAAGATAGATGGAACCCTATCATTTTCAAACCAGTCAAGAAAGTGCGAAATCCTCTATAAAAACACATTCTCGAACAAAATACACATAAAAGCATTTTTTAAATAAAAAAAAGATAAACGTCTCTTATAAAGGTATGACACAGCTGAACTAAAGCCACTGCTTCGACTTTCGACTATGTATATGTACAAAAGACTTTGGAAGCCAAATTACTTTAGCAGACAGAAATTTTAGGTGGATCTATAGTTTTGGCTAACCTTTGAGCCTGCTTTTTTCATATTTTCAATTTTTTTGGATAATCTAACGAGCGGGATCTGCTCCGGTCACTGATGGAAGCCTGCTGAACACATAGCTGTACCAAATCTTGGATCATTCAGTTGAGAAGTAGATGAACTACGGCAGTTTCTTATAGTGGATTTATAGTTTTGGCAAGCACAGTATAGGCTCATTGCCCTTTTTATGCCGAGCATGTTTGGCAAAGTTATTTTTCTGCTGTAAGAGGACTTTATGCATTTCAAAATTGTGGCAGGCAAGTATTGTCGGGAAAATGAATACAGATGAGTTTGACAAGGGTATAGCCACCTATTGCTAGTACAGTGGGCCCATAATAAGAACATGTGGTAGATTTCGGAAACTACACATTCATGCCGTGAGCGTAGCCAAAATGAAAACCGGTATTACATACATAAAGATGGGGAAAGCCCTTGAACACGATATTCTTATCGTAATGAGGAAGCTAGGCAAGATGAATGAAATCAATAAATAATCTTTACTCATCTGTCTGTTACATAAAATTGACTCCAGAATTCGCAGATTTTTCCTTTGACGCGAACGAAGCTCGGGAACGCATAGCACTGTCTATGGTGGCACGGAGGTGCTCTACGTCGACTTCCTTTCACTATTTTGAAAAGCACATCGCAGAGACTCCACAGTCTTTCGTTAGTGGGCGCAGGCTTTGGCCTAAAGTTCTGCTATAGGCTGTGTCGAGGGTATTTAGATCCGGCCACTAGGAGGACATTCCGCAAGAATAATGAAGTCCTTAACGTTGTTTTGGAGTCATGTTTGAACAATCTTCGCTTTGTGTGCAGGTGCGCTGTCTGCTGGGAGCATCCTCTACCGGAAAATGGGTATTGGTTCAGGTCAACAATTCCTTTTTCAAGATTATCCACATGCGTAGCAGTGCCCACCTTGATGCCCTAAGAAACAAAAATCAGCGGCATTTTGCCGTTAGAAGCTATTGCCGCGCAATTATCACAGAAGCCAGTCAAAGCGTTCCATTTGCGACTCAATCCTTGCTATTGACTTCTTGAGTCGATTAGACGGTACAAATTTTGACGTCAAAAAAGAGTATCGTTCGGCGGCATGCCTTGGAGAGACGTTCAAGCAGTCGAAGGCATCGGCGCAGTCAAATCAGCTTCGAGTTTCCTCAAGAGGCATGAATTTTTGGTATCCTGAAAGCTCCATCACAAGGTCCTGTTCCACGATGTTGGAGACTGTCTTGCCAAAGATGGACAGCTCTGAAGCCAGTTTAATCAAGCTTCGCCGAGGATTGCGATGACAGCGCTGGAGAGCGATCTTCAGGTTTGTGCAGATGTCCGCAGTAGCTAATTTACCACTCTTACAACAGTCCTGGGAGCTGTTCATATCCTGGAAACGACGCAAGGTGGAAAAGACGCTGATCTGTGGAATTTGGGGAACCCACGCAATCTGGTAATAAGCTATCCTCCTCTCGTGCATCTTGGCCACCAACGCTCATTCTGTTCTAAGAGGCATAATTCCGACAAGAATAAAGCTAATGGTCCGGTTTTTGCAGGACTTGTATTTAATGGCAGTGTCACACCAAAGTTGAGATTGCGCGGATCTTCACATATTCTATTACAGGGACTTCTAAATAGGCCATTGCACAAGTCTCACTCAATTTGACCCCCTCCACTCTGAGAAAAAATCGCTCAAAGTGGCGCGGAGAGCGATTTGATACGCGCGGACTCCTTCGGTCTCCCCCCTTACGCGTTTGAACATGTCCCTCCATTTGGCATCCACCTCCATTCTGTTGCTGCCACTGTGGCTGAGCCTAAAGATGGAAGGTACAACTCGTCCACGTTGCTTCCGCGGGGCCTCCAGAAAACGGGGTTTTTGGCTTCGTGCGAGTTTAAGCCTATGCAGCGCTAGGCAGGGCCCGACAGGCTTGCAAAATGCAAAAATCTCGGCAACTAAATTTTGGTGAGACACTGCCTTTAAGGGTACAGGAAGCAAACAAATGTATTTAGCATACATTTATGGAAAATCCGAACATACAATGATATCAAAAATTGTTCAAGGACTTCCCCCCCCCCCCACCCTTTATACAAGGTGTACCAAAAGTAAGTACACACTTTTCAGTCGTTAACATCTCTCTTCCCAATGGGTCTTTTGAAGTACCATTCTGTAGAGGAGGCTTCAACTTAGATTTACAGTATTAAGCGAATCACCGACCGCTCTTCATCGCTGTAGGATTACGGTAAGAACTTCCAGCAAGTAGAACTATTGTGAAATAAGTCATCTGAGAAAATTTTTTTCAAAAAATCTGAAAAATAGTGTACTAGGGTTTTCGCGCACGCTGGATCTACTACACAACTTTCTAAGTGTTTTCAGCTTTTTGACAGTGTAATCACAATTCTGACAAATATTGAGAATTTGGATATTACGGTTTACCTGGGATAACTTTAGAAAGAAGCATCATAGTAAAGTCCAAATCTCATATTTGAAATCAGCAACTTCCATTACCTTAGTATAAGAATTTTTAACTTATCTGGTTTTGTTCCAAGGCAGAATATGGCTTTCAATGGCCTAAAATCCTTGCCGAAGTTTCTACAGTTATCCTACAGTAATGAAGATCGGTCAGTGATTCGCTTATAACATAAATCTAAGTTGAAGCCTCCTTTACAGAATGGTGCTTAAATGGCGAAAAAAGACACAATGGGAAGAGAGATATTAACGATTGTAAAGTGTGCACTTACTTTTGGGACACTCTGTATAATGTAAAACACACACACACACACACACACACACACACACACACACACACACACACACACACACACACACACACACACACACACACACACACACACACACACACACACACACACACAATTTCCCACTCAACTTGTTTGACTCATGAAGTTCAGAAGTTCAGAACAGTGATCACTTTTATTTTTTTTTGCTAAACGAGGGGTGATTAAACCTCCGCTAACACTTTGTCTACCCTTTCGGCTCTAAGTGCGCTTTGTTTAAAGAGGCAAAGGTTATGAATAAAGTGGCAGGACTTGGTTGCGTGATTTCCTCAACCAAAAAGGGCAAGTCCAGATGCCATCCTTCTACTATGCAACAACTTATGATTAGTTCTAAATTTAGCGTAAAAATCTAAACGTGATGATCGATTCGGCTGCGTGGTTGTTTATGACTCATCATAAAAAAATCGTTTTTATCATATTAATTCACTCTTATGGTCTGGATCATACCCTTTCAAAAGGTGTAAGTTTTGTATACATCTAAGGCCTGTGCAGAGGCGTCTTCTTTCGTCTGCATCGTCTTCAATCATTAGAAAATTGCTCACCTAAAACGAGAATTTTAGAGTAATTTTCGTTTAACACGCTTCGGACCGGCGCTGCACTTGGTGCAACACGCTGCTTTGAAGGATCTTTTTGACGTTTACGGGAGACTTTCTCTTAGTCCAAGGTCATTATGTCAAAGGCTTATGCTTTTACGTGAATCTTTGGAGCCCTGCCGCCAATATTTGTTTAAAAGCAGCGTCCAGGCATGTCTGGACGCATGGGGATCTCACGTGGATAGTAATTTTGAGGCCCTAACTAAGCCACTGCCCAACCTGCAGCTCAGGTAGTAGCGCTCTAATGGCTAAGATATTCCCCTCGAAAATGGACCCCGCGATCGTATTTCGTATGGATTCGTGGCGCAAAGCGTGGGTCCTGGCGCGAAACTGCCATATATCCACGCAAATACTAATTTGGGGTCTAGTTTCGAGGGAAATATCTCAGCCGTTAGAGCACTACCTGCGCTGCCGTTTGGGCAGTGCCTTAGTTGCGGCCCAAAAGTACTTTCCACGGAAAATCCCAATAGGTGCAGATCTGCCTGGACGCTGCCTTTAAGAGATATGAAGGCAAACCAAACAGTTGTAGCGAAGTGCGGCGACGCGGACGACGCGTGCAATGTCACAACTTTTTCTTGCTTCGTTAAAAAAAAGAAAAACCGTAGTTTCAATGATGATGTATATGTTCCGTGAGCAACATATATACTTTTGAATGCTATTAGAACCTGAGTGCTTCTTCCTATTCAAAGAAAGTGCAGAAGTCCCTCTTGAGCTACAAAATTCAAACATTTTGAATTCACTCAGAACTTTGGGTATGGAGCTTACAGAAGTAGGCCCAAAGTCTACGAAATAAGGTCCCTTTGTTGGCTAACGGCTGAAAATACACTATTTTTCCCGCGCGCGCTTTCGCGGTCTGAAACGCTTAAGGGTATAAAAAAGGCAATTCTCAGAACATTACGTTTATTTTTTCAGTCGGTTTTGTTACACACATCGAATTAGGTCGCGGTACTTCTTCTAATCAGACCATTTTTTACAAGTCCTCATGCAACATGTGATTGTCATTGAACATTTTGTCATTAATTCTAGCAATAAAAGGATTGACAGGCCACAAGCAAGGTAAAAATCAACACGGTCTGGTTGATTTTGACGCTTTTCAAAATTTCCGGCGAGGTACGAGAGCACTTGAATTGATTCACTTCAGCTCTCACGGAAGCAAAACCGTTTGAAACGTTCATTAGAACATCTTGATTGCTTTAAGCAATGATTCAACTTATGCCTCTTGAATTTTTGCAGTGCGGGCGGCCCTCTTTTAGGCAATTCAGCGACGGACGACATAGTCTAAAGCTTCTGTGCGTGCGCGACATAGTGAAAATGAAGTTCAACCAGCAGGCAATCTTACAGTTTGACCGGCCGGCAATAGATTTGCCCATGCAAGTGGTCACAATGCGCGAGTTGGCCGGCAGTACCACATGCCATGCAAGCGGTAGACAGTGACTCCTATATCTTGTTCACAATATTCATAAGTTGTGAGCGCGAACGATATCTGGGTGAGTGACGCTGTGGTTAAGATGGCCTTAGCATTGACAGTTAAAACTAGCATCGAGCTCTGGTATCTCGACTGAAAGACTCAAATGAGTAGAGTTGAGGTTGATCAAAATTGTCAATGAGGGTTGGGTTCGCTTCAGTGGAAGCTGGACCAACGTGCAAGAACGGTTGAACATTACACCAGATTTCCGATTGCGTGCATGTACGAGAACTAAGATAAGTTAATGTTGATTATAGTATCCCGCACCACATCCAGAGGGCGAGATCGTGTAAATGGCCGTGTGGCCAATTTTCCCGCGCAAGCGGTAGGCAATGGTAACCTCGCTTGCGATCCACCTTAGCCGTACAATCGGCCCTTGACGACTGTACAATTGCACACGTCAAAGAGCGATTGTATAGTTATCAGTGGCCACTCGCACGGCGCGTACCCCTAGGTAAGAGTACCTTGCTGCCTCTTGTTTTGAAGCCTACATAATGGAAACATAACGTTCTTTGCTCTGAGCCAACTTAACGAAATCATTGAGAAAATGAAATTGCCACAATGTCGAGGTATTCTTGGATGTGAATTGATGGGTTAATGATTCAGAGTACAATGGTTTGAAGATAAGCGACATAAAACTCTTGACAAAATCTCTCAAAGATGAACATAACATGCCAATTTTATATGCATGGCAGGTGGTGACACTTTCTGTAAAAGTGGCACTAATTTTGATATAAAAAATGAAACATATTCTTCTAGAAGAAATGGTTGCTAGATAACGGAAAAGCTCCAGGTTATTAATCAAACTTTCGCTAAAGTTTTACTGAATAAACAGAACAGAGTTTTAAAGAAGGGTTAGGAGGAGGAGGAGGAGGGAAGTTTTTTCTCACCCTCTGCCATATTTTCGCACCTAAGTGATGTGCCTGTCAGGCGCATTCGGACTCGCTGTGATTCAAGCTTCCTAGGATACCAAGACACTGCAAGCTCCGCTTCCGTAGCCAGTATTGCCTCGGATGCCGAGAATCCAAAAGGGTTTCAGAATTTGAGTTCAGTGGCGAAATTGCTGTGATCAAGACCAAGTTTCGGCTTAAAAGGTTTTCGACGTTGCTCTTTTCAATGGTGGGATTTATTTGTTGCAAAGTCAAGCTTCATTACCGATAATGCCCAATTAGGATCAAAATTTGGATTTAGAGTCTTTGCTTTAAAAAAGTCGAAAATTTGCTTTTCATGACAAGACCGAAGTTTAGGTTCACAGGTACTCAAAATCGGTGTATGTTTTGTGTTTCAAAAGTGATTTGATTTTCTGAATTTTGGAAACAAAATCGTTTGTCTCACAAAAACCGAGTTATGTTAATGAATTCGAAAAATCGCGACGATGGCGTCACCACGCGACAGGCACGAACCTCCCGACATCCTTATCTGATTCATACCCGAACGATTTTCTGCTTACAAATGACAAATGCAGAACTATTTGTCGACAAATGTGGAAGAGTCCCGCGCGGACTTTTTGCAGGAACGCATCTCCCTGCATATGCAATGGTGCGTATTTGTTGCGATTGACCGCGGGACCTCCCCTTTTTGGCGACATATGGTCCTCTAGTGACGGTATTGATACAATGGAATAGACTAAACTGAGAGTTGAGGTGATGCCGTTCATGAGGGTGTTTGCTCCTGCGGGCGCAAAGACCCTAGCCAAATCCGTCGTTACGATTTTACAAACAACCTATATGTGATTCCGTAATGGTTTTTTTCCTAAATTCAGTTTTGAAAATATGTTAAGATGCAGTACTGATAATGGTCCAGGCAAGATTTTATGATAGAACGCAGATCACTGAGGTCATTGAGGCTGTTTCAGTGCCAGGAAAGTCATGCCAGTAGAGCCTGGGAATGGTGTCAAACAATGATATAAAACAGTTCATTATTCTGGAAAAAAAGGTACGCATATTTTTTTCAATAGTTTGTTTATAAATTTGAAAAATTGAATTGATTTTTTTCAGAGGATTTTCGACTAAATCTGAACTTGAATTTGTTTAAGCATTATCGGGCTGAACCTCGAATTTGCAATAGACTTTACAACTGAAAAGAACAAGCTCGAAAACCCCTAAATTCGAAATTTGGTCTTGATTGGAGCAATTTCGCCACTGAACTTCAATTTTGTTTTTAATCCCGGTTTCAGCATCTGAAGAGACACTGAATAAGGAAAAGGGCTTGCAACGTCTCGGTACGCTGACGAGCTCGTAATTATAGTCGAGTCTGAATGTGCCGGCAGGCACACCATTTAGGTGCGAAAATATGGCTTGGGTAAGAAACTTCCCGCACCCTCGTCCTTGATATTGAGTTCGCGCGAAGATTTCGCGATGGTCAATGATAGCTCATAGGATCTGACCATTGATGGAGAGCTTAAACAATCAATTGTGAAAAACAGTTCTATGTGCGATGTTGGTCCAAATTTGCTAGACCCTCTTTGGTATAAGGCATATGCAAGACTCCAAGTGATAAAAGACGAAAAAAGTTATGAGATATGAACACATGCCAGTAACGAATGAGTGCTTTGTCGGGTAGCGTCGCACACCTTTCATCATTACGGCTGCGACCCCCCCCCTTATGTTCGCCTAAATCTAGCTCAAAATTGTCAAAAGATTTCTTGCTTTCCTGGGCTCTATGAGACGTTGATATGATGAACTAACTTCACTTTCGATTTAAACTATAAGATAGTAATGCATACTGAGAGCATTGGAAAGCAAATGTACATTCTACCAGCAACTTTGAAAAATGGTGAGAAAAACTAAACCAAAATATGCGAACACTTTTTGACAATCTATAACGGACGTTAGCGACATTAAAATCATACCTTCGATAGTCTAGAGACAGGGCGCCAAAAGTGAAGGTTGTTCGAACATCTGACATCATAAATAGCGAAGAATCTTTGAAGAAGAGCAGAGAAGAGAAAATGATTGAAGCAGATATAAAAAGCAAAATAAACTGCTGGAAACCGGATAAAAACGTGCAATACAGTGTGAAATTTTTCATTTAGCGGCTTTTCAAAGTGCAAATTTTCGCTCCAGGACCAGCAATTCGCAACGCGGAGTTTTGATTTTTGATGCGTCCTTTAAGTTTCTATCCCCGCATTGACGCTCCTGTTTCCTGGGACGTTGTCTGGATTGTTGCGCTTATTGTTCTGAGCATCTCGCCCAAGCTGAAATAAAAATCGCTGCCAACGCCCGATACGGAACAAAATAAAGGAAAATGCACTTTTTTTACGATTTTTCACAAAATATTCCGTCATAATGAAAGAGATAAACACTGGGTCGTCGTCTGCGTTATAAACAAAAGCAAGATTTATGGAATGCACGAAAAAAATGGTTCAAAAGAGTTAAACTGGGTGAAAAACAAGAGATTTTCGAAAACAAGGCTTTTGCCGGATTTCTCGTTCAAATCAAAAAACGTGGTTTTGGGACGTTATCAGCATCAAAGTAGAGATCAAAAGCTTCAAAATGATATATAGCTTGCCAAATTTGGATTCGAAATAGCGAAGAGAAGGGTACCAGAGCCAAAAGCCCCGCGCCCCGCGTTTGGGGTAGCGAGGTAGCGCGCAGCGCACACGGAGGCGCAGACGAGCAGCGGAGACAGACTAGAGCCGACAGGGCATTTGGCTCTGGTCATAGATCTCTGCGGGGTCTCAACGAAACCCTGCAACATTATATATTATTCTGATCGTCATGACACGTCGATGAACTGACAACGTCCCAAGCTTTGAAAATCACTCAACGAAATAGACCAGCATTTTCGTCGACTCTCAAAATTTAAGCGCATTCTCTCGTTTTTATTTAACTCCAATAGCTTTTCTAAACTTTTGAAATTCGATTTAGGTCAAATAAGAGGTTAGTTGAAAAATCTATCCTGAATTCTGACATAAATTCCCAATCTTCTTTTTAACGTAAAAAAAGGCTATGAAAACGCAGATTCTCGGTTTTGCTGAAAGCTAAAGATGTTACTCCTTATATTTGCTTCATTAACATACGTTCCGACATAGTCAGGATAATAACATCCAGGGCAAAGCTCCGAATGACTTCTGTTTTCTTCCAGGCGAAGGTTGTGTCCCCTCATAGCCCTCAAAGTAAAGATTGCAAGAGTACTGGTTCTTTTTATCGAGGGTATGATTAGAATGCATTCGCGAAGTGTAACATTTGCAGTGAAGAGGAGATGTTTCAAAATTTTGGTTTGGGCAAAGTCAACCCCGCAGCATTGAGACATTTACTGATAGATTAATCATCTTTCCCCTTGCAATTAGAAAAGGTTGGGATTTCTGAGGTTGGACGGATAAAAAACAAACTTGATTTCTTCACTTACTTTCTGAAAAGCGACATTTCCCAGTTCTTTAATTCCTTGGCAGTAAGCAACTCCTCTGAAATTGCTGTGAATCCTGGAAAGATGACTATTTGAAACGCTTTGGAAGAACTAAAAAGCCGTTTCTGAGGGGTAATAAAAATGTCACAAAAGTAAAATAGATCAGCTAGCATTTAAGTTACTCTACGGAGCTGAAAATATCTGCATGCACAAATGCTCTTAAGATCTTGCAGTTATCAAAGGATATGAGACTACACTCGTCAAACCTTTACTCGCAATATCGCAGTAGTAGAATGATCTTTATGATTAGTGCATACCAGTAGCGGTCCCACGATTTTCGGACCGGAGGGGGGGGGTGACAAAAATTTTTTTCAAGTGAAGATGCGTGGCGTTAGCCACGCACTCTGAAAAAATTTTTGGGGTGCTTCTCAAAATTTTTGCGGGTGCACAACCTCTAAAATGTGAGAAAAGGGGCGTGGCTTCAGCCAAACCCCCGAAAAAATTTTTTATAAGGCTAATTTTAGTTTTTATTTTAAAAAAATGTTTCAATTATTTACAAGAATAAACAAGTCACTTGCACATTTTTGTAACTCATGTAAGTAGATTTCAAAAAAATTTCGCGACCCATTCTCGGCCCCCCCTCGGTCCGCCACTGGTGCGTACGTAAAAATGTAACAGCAAAAAACCCCAATCATGGTTGAGAAGACAGACGCATGATACCCTTGTGCAAAGACAAATGATACTGTTGTGCATGCACAAATTTCATAGAAAAAGTTGAAATTGGATAAATGATGTAAATGTAGGAAGTCAGAACCAGAAATGAATGTTAAAGCGTGGACAAAATTTAGCCTATTTAATTTATTTATAGCTACAAAGTAGACATCCAAACGACTCTAACGAGAAGGATCCAACACTTTAACTTTCGACTGAAAATCTTTTTTTCTCGAAAATGAGATTTTGTTTGAGAGCCAGCGAGCTGTTGGCAAAAGCTAGCCGGCAATAGCCTTTGAAAAAAGTAAAAATTCTTGAATTATGATAAGAAAACGGAAAAACTCAGAAGAGATGTACTTAGCATGTTAAACACCAAGCTATAGCAAGTAAGAGAACTATATTAATGAAGTTACGGTAATACGAGAAAGCTAAAGCGAATAGAGGTAGATGTATTTTTTCTTACTTTTTAGAAAGAGCGCTAAGCACATAAGCTATTTCCCATCCATACTAAGAGATCTTGATTTATATATGAAGTTTGATTTGTAAAAAATGGGGTTTGAAAATTTTTTTGTGTTACAATCATTTCTCTAAATTAAGACTTTAGTACGAACGAATGCGAGCTGTGTTGAAAAAGATTTATGTCTATGGGTTTTGGTACATTTGAAAATATAAATACACATCATGACATGTCAAAGTGACCATTCGGAAAACACTCATTATTTCACCATCTCAATAAACAGCTTTCTGGAGCGGTAGGAGCAGTCAAAAGCTTATGTTAGATCGACCCGAAAGTTCTGTCGCACCGCTTTCAAAAAAAAGTTCTGGTTATGTGAACCGATTTGCTTGTTTTCATTCTTATATGAAAGAGCAATTCAATCTCTTTATAGAGGTACCTTAGCGGCTTTCTCTTAAGCATACATTGCATAGATAGAAGCGGTAGAAGAAAATTACTCAAGTTTCGAATTTTCTGTGTAGGGTCATAAAAGACCCGAAAATTGCAGTAGAAATCGGAGCTGTCAGTATGATAGTTTCTATTAGCAATCAGCACAAACTTTGCACAGTCAGAAAAAGCAGCCAATACAATCTATCATACTATTTTTACTGCAATTTTCAGATTTTTTACCTACACAGAAATTGAAAATTTGAGTGATTTTCTTCTACCGTCTCTAACTATGTAGTGTATGCTAAATTGAAAGCCTCTAAGACTTCTATGAAGCAAATAAATTGCTCTTTCAGATAAAAACGAAAACGCGCAAATCGGTCAAATAACCAGAAGCTATGATTTTTTGAGAATGGTGCGACAGAATTTTCGAGTCAACCTAGTATTGGGGTTCCTATCTAATTTAAGCAAAATCACTAGTTTTTGAAATGTTAATAAATCACCAATTTTTGTATCCTAAAAATAGCAAAAGGCAGGGTCCAGCACGAGGTGACATTTGAAGAACAGAACGAAGTTCCCTTTGACACTGCGGAAATTTACGAATAACCTTTTGTGGATTTGTGAGAGTGCGGCTTATAAACTGCAGCGAACGATGAGTGGATAAAACTGAGAAAAAATTAGAAAATTGACAACAGAAGGCGAAAAAGAAAAAGGCTTTTTTGCATCGTTAAGTGCCGTAGGAAAGCAGTGGGATCGAAACTTGGGCTAAAATGAGTACCCACAGATAGAGCTTAAAGTGAAGAACAGCTTCATTTAAAAAATCGAAAAATTATGTGACGAAGTGGGTAAATTATAACTTTGTTTGGTCTCGCGCAACCTCAGGGTGCTCCCAGGTTGCGCGGGAGCAACCTAAAACATAAAAAGTTACAACTTCCTTCATCCGTATAATTTTTCCGTAATTTTTATAGTTGTCTTTTCAACATCGTCGCGAATCTATGTACCAAATTTGTTGGCTCAGTATTTCTTGGTCGTTGTAAACAAACTTATTATTTATCTTTTTGTGCATAAAGATCATGTTTCAACACGTTGGGAATCGTGTGAACACAATTTGGTCACTTCTTGGCTGTAACATGTTGATAAATATTAGGTCGTTCCGAAAGTTCTTTCCGTTTTTTCGACATATCATAAAAACACGTGGAACGAAGAAAGGGAAACGCTTCAGTCACTTTCCAATGCAACTTTTCTTCCTCTTTTCAACTATCATATTCCTGTCCCGCTCGCTCTTGTGATCAGTGAGATAATGGCCGAAATTTCGGACCTATGGTTTTTACCATGTCCAACTTTGGCAATTTTTCACTATCTTCTTTTTTGACTTTTGGAAAGGCTTTAATAGCAGTCGGATAGAGTAAACAAAGTGCAATGCAATGCAATTTTTTGACAATTTCAGCTGGCTTCTCATTATTTTTTGAGATAACTTTTTCAGAAGTCTTCACTTTTTCAGAGTCACAAAACACACAAACGCTCTGAACATTAACAAATCTTCGGTTTTCGAAACTTTCAAAAGTCGTTTATGATTGTACACTATTTTTTCAAAGTAACAGAGCGTTTATCGCTTCGAAATATAAGATTTCGCATTTCACGGGCACATCATGAGGCGGGTTCAAAATCAAGATTTATAGAAATTTTATCGCCAAAGACCCCACAAACTGAGAAGGAAAAGCACTCATCAGAAAGACGAGAGAAAGCTGCATCGAATGACACCCTAGTTGTGCGCCGTTCTATGTTCTATGGCTTCTGGCATCCCCAAAAGTGGAATTTGATAGCATCAGAAAAATAATTCTAAAAATGTTTTGAGGCTAGCTACAGATGCCGAAAAATTGTATGATATTGCACTTTGTTTACTATATCCGACTGCTATCAAAGCTTTTCCAAAAGTCAAAAAAGAAGATAGTGAAAAATTGCCAAAATTGGACATGGTAAAAACCATGGATTCGAAATTTCGACCATTATCTCACTGACCACAAGAGCGAGCGGCACAAGAATATGATAGTTGAAAAGAGGAAGAAAAGTTGCGTCGGAAAGTGACTGAAGCGTTTCCCTTTCTTCGTTCCACTTGTTTTTATGATATTTTGAAAAAACGGAAAGAACTTTCGGAACGACCTAATATATCAAGGTTGAACTGCTAGTGGTTGAATGAGGCTGAAGCCTCAAATTTAGGCTCATTGTGTGTAAGAATTGTGCTTTCTATTCTATCCAAACCGCGCCTTATGATCATAACTAAATTACACCCTTATTTTGTTAGCTTTGGGGAACAAAGTCAAAATTGGCACTTTCGAATTTTGATTGAGTTTGGTCTGATTGTTAGGAAAACCTTACGTGCTTTTAGATAGCCCTAAAAAACCGAAAACGTTTTTCCCATGAAACTGCACGCTATCGTTACAGTCTTCAGACCGCGTAAAAATGCAAAAAATTCGTAAGCAGCTGAAACAACGTTTTGAGAAGCGTTTAGGGATATGACTCTTACAGATGGTCAAGCTAAGTATACTTACACTGTAAAACTGACCAACGACTAAAAAACCATTTCGATCGTAAATTTTTTACTATTTTAGGGTACAAGATGATAAAGTTATGTATAGGAAGATGGATAGTGTCTAAACTGTCAGAACTTTCGTATCAACTCAACAGAACTTCTGTGAGATGATTTATCATGTTTGCTCCTCACGAGGAGAGGTATATGATAAAGTGCGGATTCGCTCTAAAAGACAAAATCAAAAATTCAGCTAGCAAATTCCGTAGTCGAGTAAATTTCCTGCTTTGCCCATTGTCGACGGCTCCTAATTTTGCATGGCGGCGCTGTGGGACGACGCGATTTTGCACAACACTTTCCGCTTGAAAAAGTATTATGATTATTTACGAAATGTAAGGAAGTGTAAACGACTACAATCATCTTCTTGGACGACGAAGTCTACAGGTCCCAAGAGTGCAAACAATTGGAAGAAAAACTGAGCTATGGAAGAAATACTAAACCTGGAAGCATAGTTGCGATAGGGGGAGTGATGGATCTTATCCCTTCACTCTGAGGCCAAACTCCTGATGATCCCCTTCACCTGGGCTGAGATTGGATGTTGTACTCCGAGAATATGATAAAGGTCGTTATTAAAAGGTTTTGCAGGCTAAGTACCTCAAACAACAAGTACACTCATAAATTTACAGAAGGAACGGTATTTATGTTTGCTTATATTATTTGTTTATCCTCGTAGCATTCATTTGGAGAGCAGAAAGTGAGGACAAAAAAGCAGTTGTTTTTTGGAGTAGATAAAATCCCTCACCCTTCGCGGCACAGAAGACCTAGAAAGAAGTCGACGGTCCATTTCGATTCTCCATGATCTCAGCTTTCGAATGGTACAAAGCAAGTTAGGGTTTTTTTTGTTTCCCGGCTCTAAAAATCATTTGCTCCGGTGACCCATAAAAGCCAACACATTGTA